GATGCGGCTGCTGCAATGTCCGCTCTCCGGCAGCAACTCTCGTCCCCGCATCTCGATGTGCGCGTGCACGCGGCCACTGCCCTCTGCAGCATCGTCTACTCACGAGAGGTGCGTGTGGAGGGCGTCAACATGACCTCTCTGCTCGGCGTCATGGCCGACGGACTCAACGGCGGCAATGCAGCCATCCAACTCCAGGCCGCCACGGCAGTTCGCAAGCTGCTCGCCATCGAAGGAGTGCTGCCCATCCAGGAGGCCATTGATGCGGGTGTCATTCAACCACTCGTGGGGTTGCTCAGTGACTCGAGCATGCCGAAGCTGCAGTGTGAAGCAACGTGGGCGCTGACCAACATCGCTGGGGGCACATCGGAGCAGACGCAGGCCGTCGTCGATGCGGGCGGCATCCCGCCCCTCATTCAGCTGCTGTCGTCACCTGACGATGATGTGCGCGACCAGGCCGTGTGAGGACTGGGCAACATCGCCGGCGATGGGTCAGTTTCCCGTGACCTGGTGCTGGAGACGGGCGTCATGGAGCCGCTGCTCAAGGTGCTGCGCGAGAGCGTCCAGGTGTCGACGCTGCGCACCGCCACCTTGACGCTCTCCAAACTGTGCGGTGGCCGGCCCCAGCCGCTCTTCGAGTTGGTGTCGCCAGCGGTGCCGGTGGTGGCAGAGCTCATCAGGACGCCTGAACAAGACGCTGAGGTGCTGATTGACGCGTGCTGGGCACTGTCACACGTGACCGACGGGAGAGCTGACAAGGGCATCGAGGCGGTGGTGGGCAGTGGTGTGTGCGGTCGTCTGGTGGAGCTGATGGGCCATGACAGCCGTATGACTCAGATACCTGCAGTGAGGACCGTCGGCAACGTCGTGGCGGGTACATTAACGCATACACGGAGGGCTGGGTTGACGAGACAGATTACGGTGGCTGGTCAATGCATGCCCTGATGTTGTGCCGGATGTGTGTGTGGTCTCAGGCAATGATGTTCAGACACAGGCAATGATCGACTTCGGCGCCATTCCTGCCTTGCAGGCGCTGCTGTCGTCGCCCGTGGTGGGTATTCGCAGGCAGGCATGCTGGACGATCTCCAACATCATGGCTGGTGGGTGAGCCAAGAAATACGCACTCAAGCAAAACAGTGGGGACAATGACGTATCTGTGTCTGGTCAGGTTCACGTGAGCAGCGTCAGGCGGTCATCGATGGCGACGTGGTGCCGCAAGTGATCACCATAGCCACCACAGACACGCCGGGCGTCAAGCGAGAGGCGGTGTGGGCCGTCATCAACGGGGTGCTTGGCGAATCGCAGCAGCAGGTAGAGATAAGACCAGCTGCAAAGAATGTGCTGTAATGTCATGGTTGTTCAGGTTGAGTACTTGGTTGCGGGTGGTTGCGTCGGGCCACTGTGTGATCTGCTCGTCGACGGCACTGAGGGCGCCATGCTCAAAGACGCACTCCATGCAGTCCTCAAAATGCTGCGGTACAGTACCTTCTCCATCACAACGACACTCACACCACCACACCGCGCATATGTTGGTGGTTTTGTTTTATACAGTGTGGGTCACCAGGTGGAGGTGCGTGACGGCCTCCCGCACAACCCCTACCGCAACCTCATACAACAGGTAGGTCACATGCGGGCAAAAAAGAAGGCGCCCATCTGCTTCGTATGTAGGCCGATGGAGTGGCCAGCCTTTCGCAGCTGACGCACCACGCCGATGAGAACATACGCAACCTGGTATGTCGACAGAATGTTTCCCCACACGGATGTCCGTGCATGCGCTTGTGTTCCTCTATTGCGTTGGTTCAGTCGGTCGCGGCCATGGAGGCTATGATGGTAGAGGATGAGAGCGACGCCGGCTCAGAAGGCACCGACACCACCAAGACCAGTGACGGGGAGGACGGCAACGAGTGATTGCGGGCAGGGGTGTGTGATGATGGTGTGATTTCTGCCTTGCGAGAGAAAAGAGGAACATTTGTTCATCTCTGGTGGACCAATGATCGCACCGTGCATGGACTGATTTACGAATACATACGTGATGGCAGAGTCTCAAAGACAGCCCTGTCGATAATACGAATCCACAGAGCCACAAGTCATGCACCCTATTAGAGACCTTCCCACCCACAAACCACACACACACAGACCATCGTCTATCATGCACCTATCGCCTGCGGAACTTCAGCCTTTCTCGCGCCAATCCATACTTCCTCTTTCTCTTTCGACGCACTGACGGCTGCTCCTCATGCCACATTAGATTTTTATACCCGCCGTCTGCCCATGAGCCATACACTGCCTGACCAGCAGCACCAAAAGCAGCACTGTGGCTGAACACATGGACCAGAACAGTCCCATTCGGCACCATTGATGGTGTCTCGGTGGTCGAGGTTGTCGTGTTTGCGCCTCCCCCCGATTTGATTTCCTCCCCCTCGTTCTCTTGTTCCTCCTCATCGGCAATGTCTCTCTCGGTGGGTACGGGGCAGAGCCCATAGGTCACCTCAGCGGCCCTGAAGTTGCCGCCAGCCTCCATTATTCTCGATGACGAGTAGAGTCTGCACTCGATGGTGAGCAGGCCGCTGTCTGGTGTGTGTTCGGGGTAGTCGAAGAAGACCTCATAGCAGCGGACCGTCTTGCCCAGCAGCTGCTGCATCCGGACCATGCGCATCCTGAGACACTCAGACATAAAGAGACACACAGACAGGCCATCCAATTGGACAGATCCATGTCTCATCCGTCGAATCGACCACCTGCAGAGTATGTCAGCAATGGGGTCGTGTGTGTTCTTGACGTGTCTGTTCATGGAGGCCACGTCGACGAGATGCACGGCCACCTGCTCGCTGATGCCGTCTGCCTCCCTCACCGAAGGGGC